TAACTAGACTTTATAGTTTAGTATACTTTAGACTTTAGTATTTACTCTAGAGTAAATAGACTAGTATACTCTTAAAAGTTTATATAAATTTCTAGTAGTTAGCTAGCTAAGCTTTCTATCTATATAAAAGATATATTATATACTACTTATTAATTAAGCTAGCTAGCCTATTTAATAGTAAGCTATAATATACTACTTTCTAGCTCTTAGATAGAGTTTTTAAGAGTATACTAGTTTTATATTTTATTTACTATAGCGTAGAGCTAGTTAAAGATATTTTTATACACTTTTTCTATATTATATAGCTTATTCTTATATAAAAGATTAATAATATAAGTAAGCTTTTCTACTAAGTACTTTTAGCTATCTTTAGCGCTACTTTTATAGAAAAGCTTTTTATTAAAGCTTATATTTCTTATTATAATTATTTAATTAAGCTTTAAGATCTATATTCTATAAATATTAAATACTCTATATTTTACTAGATATCTAATATAGCTTCTTAGTATAACTTTAAAGTTATACTTATCTTATCTAGCTACTTACTTTTTATTAAGTAGGTAAGCTTTATAGCTATAAGTATAAATAGTACTCTAATCTAAGTAAAAATTAGCTATAATAGTATAGATCTTCTTACTATACTCTATACACTATACGTTAAGTATAGTATTAAATACTAAAAGATTATAAGTATATAATAGACTTATATTATATAGCTAGGTTACTACTTTTATAATATTTAGCTAAAGCTTTTTAGAGAAATTTATACTACCTCTTATCTTAATAGACTTAGTAATTATTTTTTAACTTACTCTCTTTACTTCTTTATTTAGTTTATAAATATAAATAAAGGTATATTTTATAATAATACTTTACTCTTTAGCTTATATCTTAAAGCATAACTTACTTCTCTAAGATAGTATTATAATATTATTATTTTAGATAATAATATAGATATTAAGCTTATACTAAGCTATAAAAAAGCTTATAAAGTTATAAAAAACTCTTATAATTTCTATAAGTATTTTAGCTTAAAGAGTATATTAATAGATCTTACTACTATAGTTATTTTTAAGTACTATAATTTAGAGCTTTTTATTATAACTAGTAAAAAAGTTAAAAAGATTTTATAAAATTCTTTAATAAGATCTTAAAGCTTTCTTATATAGTTATCTAAAGATACGCTACCTTATATAAGTAATAGCGTAATACTTATACTTACTTTAGCTTATTCTCTTAATATATATATTATATATATTCTTAATAAAAGCTTAAAGCGCTTCTAGACTTAGATAGCTTACTTTTATATACTAAATCTTCTCTAAATTAGACTAAGAAAGGCTTCTTTAGAATTATTATAAGCGCTAGTTATTAGTTATACTTATTATAGTTAGGTAAAACTTTAAAGAATTATATTTAATAAATATAAGCTTATACTTTTTCTTAAGCTTTACTAGTATAAAGTTATTAGTAAGTATTTCTATATAAAGTATTAAGTTTAACTCTAGATACTATAGTCTAGCTTTATTAAGAGCTACTTTTAAGATAATATTAATATAAAAACTTTTTATAAGTACTATACTTATTAGAATAAAGTTCTTTATATATAGTTTTTTTTTTTTAGTTAAAGTGTTTCTAATTTTTTATATACTATATCTAAGTACTTAAAAGAAAAAGCTTTTTACTTCTATAGTATAGAATTTATATACTTTTATAAAGGTTTTTAGCTTAAGTAGAGATATATTATTAATAAAATATACTACTACTTTATTATTTAAGATAGTACTTATAAAAAGTAGATAAATATTAAAGTCTATAGTAGAGTATATACTACTAATACTTAGCTAACTTATAATAAAAGTAAAGTTAATAAGTATTATCTAAATTAACTCTAAATATATAGAGCTTAGGCTCTTAATCTATACTTACTATAAAGTAGTTTATCTCTTCTTATTAAGAGCTTTCTATAAACTATTATACTTTAAGTCTCTAAGCTTAGTAGTAATCTTAGCTTTAGCTTTATTAAAAAACTTTAAAAGTTTACTTATAAGCGCTATTTTTAAATACTTATATATAGTAGTAGACTACTTATAGTACTATTTATATAAGTAATTCTTTTTAAACTTCTAAAATAAGTTATTATTATTAAAAGCTTATTATAGTACTTTTATAATAGTAAATATACTACTTCTACTAGTAAAGTAAGTAGTATACTCTTAAATTAGCGTAGTAAAAATCTTTAATACTTATTTAAAAGTAACTTAAGTTCTACTAATAGTAAAAGCTTTAAGAAAGTTTTACTATATAAAGCGCTTCTATTCTAGAGTAAGCCTAATACTAATTACTTCTAAATAGTTCTAAATAGTAAGTATATTATTAACTTTAGTAAGTTTATATACTTTAGCTTAAACTAAAATATAGAAGTATTTCTATTACTAGCGCTTAGTATTAATATATTCTTATTATATTTTCTAAAGATATACTCTATACTATAAGTATATAAAATTCTTAGTATAGTTCTTTTTTAAAGAAAGTATAAACTTAAGATATTTAATAAGTACTTATAATATAGTTTTTTTCTTTATAAAGATAAAAAGTATAGTAAAAGCTAGAAGCTTTAAACTAATAGTCTAATTAACTTAGTTCTAAAAATACCTAATATAAGTACTTTTTAACTACTATTTTATTACTTATATCTTATACTTTATAATAAATAAATTATACTTATTAGCGTAGAGCTTATTAACTAAAGTATTTTATATAATTACTACTAGCTCTAAAGTAGTTAGAATACTTATTTAGATAGAAGTAGCTATTTTAGTATTAAAATTAATATTAGTCTAAATTTCTTTACTTAGAGTATAGAATTTAAACTAAATAAACTACTTAGACTAATATACTAAGTTAGTAAGTATAAAAGCTTTTATAAAGATTATTATAAAGTTACTTATTATAATTAATAGAGTAGTACTTTTATAAAAGTGTAAAGATAAGTAATAAAATTAGTATTACTATACTTTATTAATTACTTTATATTTTAAGTATATAAATATAAAACTATATTATTTTCTTAAAGTACTAGACTTATAACTATTACGTCTAGAAGTATAGAAATAAATAAAAGATAAATTATTATATTATAAGCTTACTTAGAAAGCTTTCTTAAGTAGTAAAGCTTTTAAGAGCTTATCTTAATCTATACTAGTATAATTACGTACTATACTCTTAAGAAGTATCTAGAAGTATATTCTATAATATTATTACTATATATTATTTTAATTATTTTTAGTTATTTCTAGTTATAGTATAAAAAAAGTTATATAGATAAGTATAAAGTTAGTTTATACTATAAGCTAGTAATAACTTTATTACTATAGTAATATCTAAATTAATATTAAAATTATTTTAGTAGTTCTAAAAGAGACTAGCTTAGAGTTTTTTAATACTTTTTAATATCTTTTAATATCTTTTTACTATAAAGATAACTTTAAATTAAACTTAAAGTACTATTCTAAGCTACTTATAAAACTTTTTATAGTACTCTATTTTTATAATAAATTTAGTAATATTCTTTTAAAGCTATATACTATATTAGTAGCTTTTTAGTATAAACTAAAGTACTAGTAAGTAGCTAATAATTTTATTTAACTTAATAAATTTATATATATATTTAGTACTTAAGTTAGTATTAAAAAGCTTAAGTAATTACTTTTTATTAAATCTTTTAAAGTTAAGCTTTTAAGTTATATAGTAGTACTAATAGCTATTATTAAAGTAAGTATACTTAAAATTAGTATTAAAGTAGTTAATTAGCGCTATAAAGTAGTTATTATAAAAAGTAACTTTTTTAAGTTAAACTTAGTATTATATAAGAAATAAAATTTAACTTACTTAAGTAGCTATATTTATAGTATCTTATATTAGTATAAGTTTATAAGTAAAAATTTTTAAGTACTTATACTTTATCTTAACTAAGCTATAGTAGTAATATAACTAATAGTTACTTTAAGTAGTATACTAGTTTTTAGTAAAGAGAGCTAATAATAACCTTAGCGACTAGCGTGGGTACTAAGCGTGGCTCGCGCGTGGTAGGCGCGTGGGTCGTCGGCGACGAGAATGCGCCCCAGGGATAGCACATGGGAACTTTACCCGGTTCATGGCTTGCGCGATTGCATGGCGAGGCTTGCGTACCCGCGAACATGGTGATGTAGAGTCGACAAGGCGTTTCACGATGTGGGATATCGTATGATTTCTGCGCTGAGGGCAGCGAGTGCGAGTGTCATCGTCCTCGGGGTCTTGGAGGGTAGTCGGCGACCGAAACCTCGCACCGTCGGAATTACCACGGCGTTCCTTCATGATGGAATGAATTACTAACGTGGCCCGCTAGGTCAAGCTGGTGTGTGGGTGTCTAGATGGTTTCTAGAAGGACTCCGTGCGACGGACGGATGCGAGTGCCGGGTGGCGGCCACTGGCGCGAACTTCATCGATGGTCCATCACAGCGGCGACTGACTTCGATTTTTTGTCACTTCTTCTCACGAACGATCGCATACATTTGTTGAACAGCTTCACAATGCTGCATATTTCTTGCATACGCGGCCCGCTTATCTCAGATTATTCTCCGTGTCAGATCTGCATGCCGCAGCTACCTCGCCGACCAGAATGCCTGCAATGGGAGCGATACAATGCTTCTCGAAGATGAGCAAACATGCCAAGTACTCAACGGACACCGACACACCGCACCGCTGCGCCGAAATGTGCATCTGCTCCGATTGATTGCGTGGTCGGTCTGCAAGCCAGTCGTCGAACGCGCAGCTCAAGATCCTCCTCACTTCTACTCTTCAAACAACTCATCCAACCATGGCTCCGCCAAGTAAACCCTCAATCCATGTCATCCTACTAGGCCCCCCAGTTCGACCGTCGGCAGCCACTCATGTAGCCTCTCCTGGACACATCGATCGCCTGAAGGGTGCATATCCATATATCCTGATGAAGCAGGAGATCAAACTACATATATCCTGAGTCCTGGCCACCTACTCAAAGCCTCCAACCCCATCTCACGCAGCCACGCAGCCAGCAATACAACTTTCTGAACTCCCCCCCTTCCCCTCCTCCACTTCATCTCAAACTCCTTGGTAACCGTAATCCCAACTTTAGCTCTCTCGCCGTATACCTCAGGCCACACATGTATAAACGCGACATGCTCCTCAACACCGACCCACCACTTATTATTCTTCCTCACGCTGAACACATCGCCAAAAGCAGTCCGCGCGTGTTCGGGGAGTTCGAAGTGCAGCTTCAAGGACGGGAAGTTCTTATATGCCTTCAGAAAAGGGAGAATGTCGATGTTGGGTGTTGACCACGAGGACTCTCGGACCGTGATGCGTACGCTGCCTAAAGGAAGGATGGGAGGCTGGTCAGGATCAAGGAAGGCGGTGCTGGTTACAAGGGCGTCGAGCGAGATGGACATTGAGTGGTTTTGGCGATAAGTGGCTTCGTATTCTTCTCGTATTTGATGGCAGGCCTGCGTGAGGCCCATGTCGTAGCGTTGTATAGTGTTCCATTCTGGAGGTTCGTATAGAACGTCATCTTTGTTCTCGTAACACAGCACGATCTGGTGTGCGGGCGTGCGCAGGTAATTTGGGGTCGAGAAGAATGATGTGGCCTCTGAGTTGACGGGAGCGTCGTGGTTTATACGTTCATTGGCGAGGTATGAATATATTTTGTTCCGAATTTCTATGCTTGTTAGTGATGCACTTGATGATGACGGTTAGTGTGTACTTACCACCGGACAGGGACAGAAACCCGAGCCTGGGGCTTTCTACAGTGAGATTTTGGAGAGCTGCGTTGAGTTCCTGAATTGAAGCGAGAGTATCGGACTTTTGTGGATGAGACATGTTATATGGTAAGCAGTTTGCTTGCCTCGATGGGTAGAAGTTTTCAGGGTGGTTTGTAATTAACAAGTCATCCGAGTTGAGCTCAAGGTTAGCGATAACTGAATAGCTCTCCACATGCAGCAGTCGACATAGTGGTAGTGGGCATTGCTTTCACTACACCTACTTTAGTTACACTAAACACAAGGCCTACGCGTGGCGCCCATTTCACCTTTCAGCGTTGGAGAGCTACACGAACCTCTCGATGAAAAGCCCTGTTCCCGTGGAAGCATATCCTGGTCTTCTACAGAGCTATCCCCCCTTGGATGTAAACACATACGACATGCCCTCATTCACGGTCGAGCTCCGCTGACGTCGCAGAAGTTTCCGGAACTATATGGCCAAAGTGATAGAGGAGCGAACTGTACTTGCCACTATTCCTGTTGAGACCAATACGTTTACTCCATGTCATTGCTGCGTTGAGATACTCAGTCTTCTTATAGAAGTCGGGACCCATCCAGCTTTCCGCCCACTCTTTCTTGACCACGATTGTGGTCTTTAGACCTTCATTCGTACAACTGCTGATGGTGATCTGAGAAAGGCAGTTTTTTGCGTAGACATTCCAGCGGGGGTTGCGATGGGTGTTGAGCAGCGAGTTGAACAAGCTGTTCTGGCGGAAGTCATTGGTGTCCTCGTTGAGAAAGCGTGCAATCAAGCGTGGCGCCCGAGCGATGATTTTGACCAATGGGAGTATATTGACGGAATGACGTGTTGCTAAAACCCTCGGCCTCAGCAAGATGATACTACCGACCGCATCGTCGTAGGTGCCATGTTGTGGATCGACAAACGTGGAGATATACTGATCGACCTGGTAATATGGAATTGCGATGGTGGTCGTTGTGAGGTAGATGGGCAAAAGCTCATCGCGGACCTGTCTACAGGTTCGTGTGAGACCAAGGAGCGTACGATCTTGAGCGATATAGTCGATGTTGTTCTTAGTGAGGCTAGGGTTGTGCGAGAGCTTCACCAGAATGCTCTGCTCAGCTGCATACTCGTATATGTAGTTCCGGAGTTCTTTAGATATAATTAGCAACTGTGAAATCTGGTTCCGAAATCTTAACTCACCCCCAGATAAGTCCAGAAAGCCGATAGCTCGACCTTGACAAGGCGATGTGGGCGTGGGCGCAACAGCTGCGCCAGAGTCACTCTCGGGTTTTTGCATGGTATAAGTGGCTTGTCGTGTGATGATTCTCAAGGTAATGGGCTCCTTCAAGTGACTACGAAGTAGTCCGAAGAGATCAGAGAACCGAAGTGAGTGAGAATAGCAAGAGTGGTCTTGGCAAACCACCTGACGCGGAAAGTGGGTCCACAACAGGTGAGGAAAGTGCGTTTGCGTTCGCGCGAGTGAGAGATTGATGTGGAGTTTAAGATTTGTAATTCAGAAGATTCCCACGGCAGCAACATTGGGGCCTCTAGCGCATAGTATTGCACTCATGGTTGGGATGGAACCAAGTAAAGCTTACCAGAATCAAGGAAAGCGACCCAATCAACCCGTAGACATTCGATTAATGTGAAAGATCTACGAAACCGGCTCGATTCGATCTTGTACCGTAAATCGTTTGAGACGTTTAGTATCTGCGTTAATACAGCCGTATCGTCGTCCAGCTCGTCCTCGACGTACCATTCATCCAAGATGCTCAATATACCTCACCAAAGCCCTTTCTCTCGGCGTCTTGCATCTTGTCAATCTCCGTCTCGCCAATCTTCTTCTCTTCCTCCCCGGCTTCCCTATCCTCCTCACTGTTCTCGACAATCATGTTGCCTTTCAACGCTTCCGTGAGGATTGGTTCTCCTTCCTTCTCCTTCGCGAACGCAGCATCATCGCTGGTGGCATCGCCGTCGCCCAGTCTATCGGTCCTGACGCCATTACCCATGCCGGATTCCTCTTTCCAGCTCTGCTCTGTCTGTTTGCGCTGCAATTTGCGTTCTTTGGACTGTCTGCGCTGCGTAGAGCTTGCTCGGAGGAACTTGCGGTGTTGTATTTGTTGCATGCCCGGGAAGTAGTCGGAGTCATCAGAGAAACCCTCGCCTGGTGTCTTGTGGGGTTGTAGGTGGCGGAGGACAGCTGCGGTTCTCGGTTGTGCATGGCTACCTGAGCGTGACATGGACGATGTTGCTTCCCCTTCATCACTGCTTGTGGCGTCGTTGGACGCATCGTTTGGAGATGCTGGCGTTGGAGGCATTTCCGGCATGGTGGCACCCTTAGTACTCTGCTTCCGCGAAAGCTTTGCCGGCGACGGCTCGTTGATAATGGGGGCGTGTTCGGTCTGCTGCGCTGCAACTGGGTGGTCCTCCTGTTCGCTTTCTACAGGCTCCATGTGTGAGACTGCCGGCGGGGGCAGCTGTTGCGATTGTCCCATGTACTCCATAGTGTTCTTGCGCATCGGTCGACGGGGGTAGTTGATCTTGTCATGGTCACATCCGTTGACGCATCCTCCCCATCGGCGCGTGGGTATGGTGGGGGATGCGGCGATGCCTCCTTGGCCCAGGCCAGTCAAAGGTGTGGCCCTGCTCGGCGTAGATGAGGTGGCGCTTTTTGTCTCTTCCTTCTCCTTCGCAGCACGGCGCTTGAGTTCCGACCATGTTCGTAGCTCGTTCTGGAGAATGTATCGGCCGTTGTTCTCGCTTCGCTTCATAATTATGAATTCGCAGTGGTTGACGTTACGGAGATCCTCGAAGTACTCGACCGACCAGTGGTACCTGGAGCATGTTAGTTCTGGACTGCTGACCCAATCGTTATGCGCCTCACCATTTCATAAGGAAGACGCGCGACATCAGCCCGTGTGTGACCAAAACGCATACACTGGGAAAGTTGTCGTCTTGGAAAGATCTCCACAGGCTCTCGTTGAAGCCACTGACTCGGTCGTACGCGTCAGCCGCACTCTCGCCATCAGGTATCCGGTAGAAGAAGTGCCCATAGTCGGCCCTCTCCTGCCACATGCGCTCCATCTCGGCTGAACATGGCTGGAAGTTTCCGAAGTCCTGTTCGCGTATCCGGGGCTCTTCGAAGACGGTTATCTTGTTGCGGGGAAAGGGCGATGGTGTTGGGTCGTCGGAGGTCAGAGTACGGAGTATGCCTTCGGTCGTCTCGCGCGTGCGACGGTAGGGTGAAGTGAAGAACTGGAGGGTGTCGTCCGGCTTGAGCAGAGACCGTAGCTGTCGTCCTGCCTCTTCTGCCTACAATCATCTGAGTTAGTCATGTCTCGTCTCAAGTCGGATGGGACTGGGGGCGCACCTGAGTCCAGCCATGCTGGGTCAGTTTCACTCTATGGTCGGGAATGAACTGGTGGATGTCGCGATTCTTGTTTCCCTCTGACTGGGCATGGCGGATCAATATGATCATCTGCGAGGGAGTTAGCCATTGGCCTTGGTGGTATTAATAAAGTGGACCTACGCGGGGTTTCCCCATGGTGAAGAGAGTGGGATGTGTGTATGGTGTGGGTTTGGAAGATGATGTACGTGTCGTTGATATTATGCTGTACAGCAAGGTGTCTTGGAGGCAGGAAGGGAATATGTACAGCTGTGCAGGGAAAGTGCGATCAAGGGCGTTTCATGTGCAGCTGCAAGCCCAACGATAGCGGCGACTTCGCTGGCGCGAGTGGCTTGTTCCGCCGCCCGTAGCGCCCCCGAGGTGTTCGCCGCAAATGCTAGCGCGTCATCCCTCGCGACTGTTTCTTGGCCGTCATTCTTCACCACTTTTTCTGCATTGCGCGACACCACACGTACACACTGCTACTGCCCACGCTATCTTTTTGAAGTCGCATCACTCCGGGCAACCACACACGACGTCATAAACAAATTACTGCCCTCTGCCAATCCGTCTATTTGCCAGCGCATCGCATCGCTGACCCTCGTGGTCTCACCACAATGTCTGAGCCCATCCCCGAATCAATACCTACATCCGCCGATCCGCGCTCGCAGCGCCCGACGAAGAAGCGCGCGCTTACTCCCCGCTCAGCCCAAGCCTCAGAAGTCGAGGCTCTCTTCGCGAAGCCTGATCGCGATATCTACATCCCAGGCTCCAGCGCACTAGCCAAGTCCTCCCTACCCCCAGAAATCGTCGCCAATGTACAAGGCTCCAGTGCAGGTGCGGGAAGTGGCGAGTTCCACGTCTACAAGGCGAGTCGGAGGCGCGAGTATGAGAGGCTGAGGATGATGGACGAGGAGGTCAAGAAGGAGGAAGACGAAAAGGAGTTCGCCAAGCGAAAAGAGGAGCTGGAAAAGAAAGACAATGAGAAGACGGAGAAGAATCGTCTGAAGAGGGAGAAGGCGCGACAGCGGAAAGAGAAAGCCAAGAAGGGTGGTAAGGGCGGAACAGGCAGCGAGAGGGATGGGACACCAGTTGCAGAGGATGGCAAGACGAAGAAGAAATTAGCGCCGAACGCGAATGTGCCAAAGACTGGCACCGACGAGGACGCAGATGGCAACAACGAAGGCGGAGAGGTCAAGAATGCGGAAGAGATTGGACTAGTCATCGAAGACGACGACTGAGTGGCGTACACACAGTCCGGAAGAATGGTTGCATGAGTGGGACAATAATCATTTTAATGCAGCAAAGCTCCATTAAGAGCTGATGGAGACACTCTTCACATTTGGGCCAAAAGGTGCGATGACATGGATTCCTCCCAAACCTGGTGCTAACGCTCAATACAAAAGTCTTGTTACTGTTGTCGCGAGACGTTACACAACCCTCTATCCTATGCGACCCTCCACGGCAGCCGCGCCTTCTTCATATATCGCCCGTCGACTATCGTCAGAAGCATTTGCATCAAACATCTGCAATCAGGGCTATGTTGCTTGTCAAGGATTAGCGGCACAACAGGAGAATTATGCAGGTGCGGCCCGGCAAAGCTCACGGCTTTTCCCATGCCAACCAACCACCATCGCTGGCCATCGGAGTACCTTGACGGCTTCATCTGTCTGGTTCACTGGCTCATTACGACCGCATTTCATCTACTCTCGACAACATCCATATACTTCTTCTTCATTTACCGATCAAGCTTTCTGCGACGAAGGGTCGGGACTGCCTACCGGAGTCGAACTCCGATGAGATGCGAGAATGCGGGGAGTTCAGCGCTGCCCCTCATATCAATTTACCTCATGTTCGATCTTGATTAGTCTTTTCAAGTCTCGCCAGATTTTCCTTTGCTGCCCAGAAAAATGACGTTGTCGTCAATTCACATACCAGGTGTCTGAATACGCCGACTTGCCGATGTTCTCTTATTTTAAGCCTCGAGACCCACAAAAACTGCTCCTGCCAAGTTCTGCATGAGCTCACGACTGATCGTCGTGGCGGAGACCCGAGCCGCAGTGTACGCCATCGTTGAAACCTCATAGGAACGACTCGACATTACTCTTTTATTCACAGCCAAGAAACTATGCCGAGATCGGCTAAACAGCCCGGCAGCCTCTATCTAGGAGAGACGCGTCCTCGATCTTAGTACCCAAAGTAAACAATCTCGATTTCATCCCCGTCTGGTTGCATGCAGTATCTATCGGCAGTTACGCACCATTACTTCCATACAGCTCTACCTGCAGGCCTCTTGCAAGTTCGATCCAACGAGACATCAGTGGCCTCAGGCCACACGCTCAAGATCACCACTACCATTGGATCGTGTAGATGAGCTGTTTCAAACATTACCCTGACAGCGGTTGTACAGCCCGTCCCTACCCTGAATCCAAAGCTTAAATAGACATCGGACCCGGCCACAAGCAACCGATAAATTAGCCACTGTGCTACTCTCCATAAACACCCTGGCGCGACGCTCTCTGTACAACGTGTACGCAACGTCATATCCTCTCAACATACTCGATCGGCCCCAAACCTCCGCGAGTGAGAGAATTCTCCGAACTCTGAGCTATGATAGCCGGACAAATATAGCGCTGCTGCGTCGTTATACGGGATATTAGGATTCATCAACGTGGGCTTGAGGGCGGAGGAACAGGGAAGGGAAGTAATCTACGCTGACGCATGGTAGCCAGGTACGCGTGTGCTCTGGAAGATGTGGAGACTGGGGGTGAGCAGGAGTATAAGAGAACCTCGTGTCAGAAGTTTAAATCAACATCAACGAACAGCTTCCACTTTACTCATTCACTAAACTATACATCCGCACACTATGAAGTTCACCACCGTCCTCCTCATGGCCGCTGGGTACATCTCCCTCACCAAGCCACTTCCTCAACACCCCAACTAACACCCCCCAGCGCCCTCGCCGCCCCCATCGTAGAACGCCAAGCCACTCCCTCAATGCCCGTCGGCATCCCACCCTTCCCCACTGGCCCCCGCCCCACCGGTCCCATGCCAACGCCTCCAGGAGGTTTCCCCGCGTTCCCGACTGGCGCTCCTCCCTTCCCAACTGGCGGCTTCCCTGGCTTTCCCAGCTTCTCAGGCGGTGCGCCTCCGTTCCCAACTGGTGGCTTCCCCAGCTTCCCAGGTGGCGTTCCTCCCATGCCGACTGGAGGGTTCCCTGGTCGGCCTAGTAGAGGACCAATGCCGAGGCCTACGAGGAGTGTGCCGGGCTTTTGTGAGTAGATTGTGTTCTTGGAGAGTGTTGGGTTTGTTGCTGATCTTTTGTAGCGCCTATGCCTAAGCCTACGCCTGTTGGGCCTCCGGCGTAGATGGTCAGAGAGATGTTAGGGCGGAGACTTGGGGTATGGGTTCAACCTCGGCGGAAGAACGTTGCTAAGTTCGTTGTACATAGTGCCACTCAAATATGATCGCAACTGGGTTCGTAGCAAATCGTGCTCTTTCGTCATCGTGAAGCGCGTTGTTATCATTCCAATTCGATGTCCTCAACCGTCCATTCGCCGACTTTGTCCCCGGGCTGGATTTCGCATGACAACTGGGCCAGATCTTCGCGTTCGTCAAAAGCCGGTATGTGTGCTGTGCAAATATGCCGGTATGTCCCGCTAACTTGTCTTCGCACGATGAGCGGATAACAAGATCCAAGTATTATCCAAATGTCGTCTCCTTCTCTTATATTACAATCGGGTACTAGGCCAGCGTGTCCACTGTTTGTTACAATGTAAGATCTTCTATACAAGCTTTGTAACGTATCGCGGAGCGCGGACCACGCGCGTCGATCAATCCTTTTCAAAGGGGCTAATAGGTCCAGTACTTTAGTTCCCTCGTGCCCTAAACTCCGGCTCGCCCGCTCCGGAGCACTGCTAATTTCAAGAAGGTAAGACAATCCAGTCTCAATACAACTGTGATCGTGCTTTCGCCCGTGTAGACCGCCTTCGATAACACGAAGGAATTCGAGCGGCAACCCGGGGCCAGAGTGCCCGAGGTGTCGCTGCAGATATTCACCGAGCGGAGACGTCCAGAAGCGACCAATGGTCGCGTATGCGCCGTTGGTAAAGCGTTTCTGTATCCAACCCACCTCTACGCCGCGAATGCGTAATGTCAAATTTTCGACATTGACAGAATTTGAAAGGCACTGGGTGCGTCTTCGCTCATGATCATATCGCAAAGTGACCGGTGTTCCGAGAGGGTCGCCTCCCATCCATTTATCTGGTATCCATGTTGGATGGGTAATCTCGTCCGACTTGAGACTATCTGTTGCTTTAACGTCATGTCGGAAGCTGTCAATCAGGAACTCAAGATCCCTATGTCGACTGATGTAGTAGGCGGCTGCATCTGCCATGACCTGCGCTTCAGTCTTGTTGTAATCGACTTCAATGCCTCCTTCTTCGTAGTCTTTAGCCAAGTGCATAAGAGCATACAAGCGATCATGGCCTACCGACACTTGCATATAATTGGATCTGGGAAGAATGGTGAGAAGCCCAAGTCTCAGTCTTTGCTCACCATGAAAGGCGAACATCTCGGAACCAAAACTAAAAGGGCCGGCCATATATCCTCTCAATGCACGTAGATTGGTAAACTTCCAGACGTTGGGGTGAACATCAATTAGAGGGAAAAGGTCCCCTATGACTTGCTGGAAGTCGGCGACAGCCATACCATCAAAAGCAATATTCATGCAGTGTAGCATTATTCGTCGTGCGTTACGGACTTCTTGCTGTCTACCAGCATAAAGGCGACCGCGTCAGCTGATACTCTATATTCAGGCGACCGTTGATCCACTTACATCCAAATACGATTGAAGTACCCATTGTTAAACATCGGAACCAGAGGATCCCAGAAGCTGGGCTCATCGCCCAGGCCACTATATTCTGCATTTGGGCTGGGTTTAAAGCTTTGGAGAGCTGCTACGGCCGCACTCTCTTCGTCGATCGACGGTTCATTGATCCAAATTCGCACACAGGAAGCGTTGTGGTAGATGGTCCGCATCATGGCGACCTGTTCGGCTCGTTCCTCAAGACTATTCTGGTTAATGCATATCGCATCAACCCATATCCTCAGTGGCTCCAGTCCTGCGAAGTCGCGCAGATATTCCAATGCTCTTGTCAGATTCCAGGCCGTCGGTATAGTGGCGCCATCCACAACGACCCGATCGGTCTGCGTCGCATCACCCCACATGTACGACAGCGCATCGTATGCGAAGTCACTGTCAACGTTCGCGATGATGAATTTGCCTAGGAATGGGTCTGAACGTTGACCAGGCTGCAGTTCGAGGATGCGGATGCAGCGGGGTTCGAGAGGCTCGTAGTGAAAGCGGGGCAGTGGGTCTGCGCTTGCGTCTCCCGAGCGAAGCTGGCAGTAGCGTCGGCCATCCTCTTCAGAGTTATCGTCGATCATCTCGCAGGGTCAGTATGATGGAACGCGAAAACATTGCTCGTGCCTCAGAGTGTGAGAGAAGTAGGATGGGTGTTGAAGATGTAAGAACAGAGAAGGCTGGCTCGTCAGCATGTTGGCGAGAATGCGGGGTCAAGCGAGGCCACGCCTGGCGAGACGAGGCTGAGAGACAAGAAAATGGACTTCTAACGGGTGCGGTAAATCTTGTATCTACTACATACAACTTAACAAATAGATCGACCACCCGCAAAGTTGAAGCGCAGCTCTTAATATAGCTTCTGCCTAGTCGACTTTGCCGCACGTAGTCAACGATTTGGATGGGCACGGATGACGACTTTCACGGATACTAGTCTCGCATCATTGTGGATACGCTGATACAGGTGCGGATTGTGAGACTATCTAATTGCAATACCACTGCGCTCTAAGAATCGTGGATGCCGTCGTCAGTGCCGTCGTCAGTGCCGTCCTCGCTGCCGTCCTCGCTGCTCAGGGGACTACCAAGACTCCGCCAAACACCTGGCCGATGAAAAATAGACCTGACTGACATCTCGACCTGGAACTTTCCGTCAACTGTAGGCCTGATCTTCGCATTTTCATGTTCCCCTAACACCTCACCCTCCACAGTGTCAGAAGTACCCTCAGAGCCTTCATCGTCGCCGTCGAGGAACGTGATACCTTTTTCTTCAAACATTTTCTTGAGCACGGCTTTCCGTACATCATCCTCTTCCAAAATCTTGTCGTCTTGTCCATGGTACTTCCGCCCGAGGTGTTTTTGCACTAGCTCCGTACCTCTGAGCGACGCCGCTGAGCCGTAATGGTCAAGGAAGAAATTACGGCGGCGACAGCGTCCGCAGTAGTCATTGCTGTGATACTGGTCCCTTATGCACTCATCGCGCAGACCTCCTAACAGTAGATCTCGGTTGCGTTCGCGGTATATCTCGTTCATGCGATTGTGAGCAGGGATTTGGGCGAGCACGCCGCTATCTATCTTGTCGTCGAAATCCCAGTTCTCGTAGAATTTGTAGAGCTGGGGAACGTTATAACCAACCAGCTGCCAAGCTACCGTGTGGTATGTGCGAGCCATTTGCTGAGCCAGACATTTGTCGCCAAGCCAGGCTTTACACATGTTGTATTGCGGGGTGAACTCGTGTGACGAACGCTTGTGGATGACTCTCTGGATGCAAGCCCATACCTTTCGAAGCTGCGGTGCGAGATCTGGATCGTCGAGATCGATCTTTTTCTGCTTGGCTGCATCTTCGGAAGCTATCTTGAGGATGTATAAGCCTAGCCCGGGTGTGGGCTTTGGCATGAGCTTCGCCAGGACAGGGTCTCCGGCTAGTTCCGATAATATCTCTTTCCATATGTCTCCACAGATTCGGTACATCGAAATCCAGTCGAAGTACACGTTCTGCATCTCGCCCTCTATAAATAGAGACAGATCGCGAAGCAGCACGGGAGAGCCATCTGCCGGACCATCCTCGAACAGTCGTACCACCCGACGAGTGTCAATCTCACTTTCAACCCAATCCGGTGATGCGCCCAACTGGCGTGCTAGTTGCCCTTGTTCGGTTTTGTCGCACAGCAAGACATTGAGGTTACTGGCAAGCTCGTCCACGGACTCGTTGGTGTGGTCGCTCCATCCTGTCATCCTACTCTGCAGAATCGGACTCAATAAGCTCGTTTCTTGAAACATTCGACTTGATTTGTGGAAACGGTATTTCCCACTGCTGTCTATGCGGGGCATCTTGCTGCCAAAGGCAAGATTAATCTTACGGTATGACTCGTCAAGGGTCTTGGGTATGCCGCCGTAGAAGATGTGATTTGGATCCTGAGAGTAGAGGAGGTATTCCATGTCAGGCCAAGTAGGATCGTTTGGATAAAGTAGTTTACCCTAGTGGTTGATATTAGTACCGATTGACGATTACTCAAGGCCACTGTGTGGAGTTTTGGAAACTCTAGAACAATTAGGCAGGACTGAGCTTTACATACCGCAGTATAGAGGTGGCCCAAGACGCACGCAAGGCCACTCTGCCCCTCGAGATGCCAGCCGCAAATATGTAGTTGGAAGTAGACATCATACTTGATCAAACCGCAACGTATTGGGTTATATTTGAGTGCAGGGATGTCAGAATGTTCCATAAGCTGGTGATAGATGTCCATGGTGTCCCTGCACCGAGAGCGTTCATCTCCAGATGGAGTATGAGGACCAAATAGCTCCGGGAACGGGGCTTCCCATTCATCGAACGCCGGCCATTCGTTCAGCTCGTCCTCAAGTGTTACCCGAGCATGAGTGAACGAACTGTTGAAGCCTTTGCCTTCACCCATACGATTATCCTTAATGTCCTGGATGTCGAGAAGCATCTGGATGCCAAATGTGACCCAGATAGGGACGACTTTATCTGTGAACATGATTTTCATGCCGCGGGTTACCTAGATGGTGGTGTACAAAGTCAGTGTGTGTCTCTTGCAGTTCATACACCAAGTTCTCTTACTTCATCTTGAGCCCAGAATCGTTGGTGTGCTGAGGTGTACACCCGGAACGCTTTGGCAAGCTCGAACGTCCGCTTGATCTCTGGCACTGATTCTGCACCAATCGCTTGAAGCTCTTCCTCGTTGGCGTCAAGATAGGGGAATTTCTTGATGCGGTTCACACAGAATCGCAGACCTGTGTAGGCAGGCCAAAAGCACCAGTTGGCGTGAATCTTATCGTACTCGTCCGCATTGACCTGGATACTGACATCTGAGGGGACCACTAACTTTTGGATTTTGACATCATCCGGCAATGGGTGGTAGTGATGATACAAAAGCGCAGGAAGAGACCACACAGGAAACTTTGATACCGGGTATCTGGATGGGCGCTTGAGATGAAGGTCGAATTCGCTCTCAGCACGCCTGACAAGATCTATCGCAGTGTTCGTGAGCAGAGCCGACGCCATAAGGTCCCTGTTGAAGTCCTGTGTCTTGAACCAGGAATCTTGTACCACGTCCTGAATCTCGTGGATCCCTGCGAGAAACGAATGTATTGCGAAGAAAAACTCCTCTTCGGCCTCTTCTTCGCTCTGCTCGATATCCGCTGTGACAACCGGCGGCAAAGTGGCTTGCCGTTCAACCTTCTCTTTTGGCGACGTGTCCGCTACTTCCTCCACCGTCAGCTTTTTGAACCGATTGTCGACACCATTGGACTTCTCCGGTTTAACGGCTCTGGCGACAGGAACCAAAGGGCGCAAAATTTCCTGGACTCTGGACAGTATGTTTATGAAGTGATTATGCCCTTCATCTTCAAGTTTAGCAGATTTGTACCAAGCTTGTGCCTCTTTCCTAGCTTTTATAGCTCTGCCGAACACTGTCAGGAGCGGAGATGGCACTTTGACTTTCTTGGCTTGTTTGGCAATAGCCTCGGCGATAGGTATGAAGTCGACGGTCCGGATGTGATATGCAGAGGGCTGGCTTTTGGCAGACTCTTTGGCAGCCTCCTTGGCCTTCTTCCTATCTTTGCCTTTTAGGCGTTGTGACTCTGCCGGCGTCGGCGCCGGTCCACTGTTGAGACTAAACCCGATCTTTTTTGAGGCTTCGACTAGCCAGCCGGCAATGTACTCTGTTGTCGTGTAAGTAACGTTAACCTACTAAATTGAAGCCATTAAGAAAGACGCACCTGTATCCTTCTTGTATTGGCGATAAGTTGTCGAAAGAAACCCAGAATCTAGATTCGTCGACATCTTGAATAGATGTGTGAGAAAGAACAGCGCGGGTGGGAAAAGAGTTGTGGAACATCAACCATTGAAGCCGCTGGATCGAAAGAGCGGAGTAGCGGGACTTCGGATGGACCTAGCGTCAAGTGGAGCTCCCAGCATGCTAATTCGCTCAATCAGTGGATACCAAGGATGCTTCCTGTTTTGGAGCCGGCAATTAGAATAGACGTGCGCGTAGTGGTAGATGGTTCTTCGAATCGGCGATACTTCTTATTCGAGAGGATTCAATTGCATGAGCGTGGTATGGGTGCCGGAAACTGCAAGTCGTTTCTGTGAAAGGCCGTCGCAGTACCACGCGATGGGTAGCGCCATTGAAGACGAGCCCCCAACTACCTAGACCTTGAAAGCTTTCGGGTGTTTCAGAGACAGCAGATGCAACCAGCACCGAGTGAGCCAAGAGCTGGACTTAGTACGGAGTAGACAGAATACTGGAGTTGCACTGAACAGAGAACACTGAAGGCCGGCGCCGTTAGCGTGTCCGTGGGGGTGCGGGGTTAGGCGAATCTCGGGCATGCAAGGTGTCTTCGTTGGCAACAACGCTGTAACCTTCGGTCAGCTTTTCGGTGATGCCTTCGGGCCCCAGGTTCTCGCCACTTCGCTCCAGGCCGTCACCCCCAATGCAGGCGGAAACAACGTCAAGTGCGAGGTCAAGAACCCCAACTACCCTGGACAGACCTATGCGCTCAACGCATGGAACACTTTTATCGACCTTGATGGGAACCATAACGCTGCTATCCCAACCGACGTTACATCGTTCACCATCGAGTGCAAGGTCTAAACGTCCTCTCGTATACCGCTTAGCAGTATGTCGGGCGCCGTTTCATGGGGCGCATGAAGCGAGGTGGTCAGCGATAACGTTCCTTTCTTTCTTTGATGTCTTGGGAAAGCGATTTGGGTACATTACCTTGGTGTTTAACAGTGGTGTATATATTCATTCGTCCGTGTTATGGGAAGTAGTAAAGCTTCAATAGCTAATATCACTCATTTGTGGAGGCGCAATGTGGCTCCCGCTGACGCACCCTTAAAACGGCGTGTTGCATCCATACTCATGATCGGATATGCTGAAGACAGGAAACTAGGTGACACAAGACCCAAAGTTGAGCAAACATACAAAGTATCGTTCAGATCGTCGTACTTCACTATCACAACGCTATGCCAAAAAGACCAAAATCCAAGAACGCCTTCCATGCTCTAAGCACATTTTGCCTCACCTACTTGGGCCACGCCCTCTCCCTCTACCCCGTCCTCCTCTAGCAGCCTTGTAAGGCCTCGGCACTGGTGATCCATCACTCCTCCTCTTCTCACCGATACGTGACGAGTATCTTTCCTCTCTCTTCATGTTTTCGCAAGCTTCTTCCTGTTCACGAGTCCCCGTAGAATGGTTGTGGACCTCACACCACTGCTGCCGTACTGCCCCATCGCCTCCCGTAGTGAATGGATCGCGAACGTAGCAAATCCCGAAGAGAAGTTTGGCGACTGCGCGGACCCTTGACTTGACACTTGGGTGCGTGTTCATGAACATGTCCCAGCTGCCATAGTGCTGCGTTCCCCAGAGGAAACTGTATAGTATCACTATCCAGCGACAAAGTGGGGCATGCGTTGGGAGGTACTCAAAAGCGCGGACGACGTTTTCTATGCTAGGCAGCTCTCCGGTCTCGTGGTAGTTCGTGTTCTGGAAGCGAAGCAAAACAGTATAAGCCGAGTGGTACTCCTTACGCAGATACGTGACTATGTAGAGAGTGAAGAGGTTCTGGTAGTATTGGTCGAGAGTCAAGCGGTGTTTGCCAAACGGCTCGACCCTGCCGTGTTTATCCAAAAGGCTGTACATCGCAAAGATGACGGATTTGACCTTGGGGTTACTGTAATCTTGAAAGAGATTGATCTGCTCAGCGAACTCCATCATATCCAGGCCAGGATCCCCGCTTATTGGAGTATGAACGTTATTCTCTTCATCGTTGAACCGCCTTCCATTGGCCGCCGTCATTCTCGATACTAGCGATCCTGGTGTGGCGTTCATCAATGGTGGCGTATCTACCGTTTCACCTCGGTGATGGATGTTCCGTGTATCGAGCCTGAGTGCCGCTGGTCCTGTTGGTGTGCTCGGAGGAGGTTTTACGGCGGCGGGAAGGTCGCAATGTTGATGCCTGAGCCGGCAGTTTTGGCAAGTGTGACCGAAATCTATGTGGGCTAGGTTCCCAAGCTGCGGCGAGTAGACTCTACACTGATGGCCATATTCCGCACACTGACTGCATCCTCCACCGTCAGCCGCCTTGCCATGGTAATGTTGAATCGCTCGCGCATGAGCGATTTCAAATTTCCGCGCATAAGTCAGACGATCCCAATCGCCTACTGGATAGTGATAACCGAATTCATCATCGGAGGGCGGGTCCAAGACGTATGCGGCAAAGTCTTCGATGTGCTTGACAGGGTCTGGTCTAGATGGCGTTGCGGCGTCGCTATCCGTCATCCGCCTTGCGCGCTTTCTGGATATATTTGGGCCGGACTTCAATTCCATCAGCGCCCACGGGTATGTCTTTCGGAGACTGCTTTCCAGCTCAGGATTCTCGCTAATCTCAGTCTCTTCAACCTCGATGATCATTTGCTTGACTCCTCTGGGCTTCTCTGTCGCATGAGCCTCACGAGCTCTGTCCTCTTCGGCTTTGGTTTTGGGTGTTACTATAGTGACGCCGGGGTAGTCGTCTTGTAACCGTTGGCGCAACTCTGTTGTCAGATCTTCTTCGCTTACAGTGAAGCTGACGTCTTTGACACACGGCGGGATGCTGGACTTCCTGAATGTCTCCCATGACGGAGTCTGGAGTCCATTATCCGGTTCAGGGAGGTCAGCTGCAGTATCCTGCGTCTGTGAGCCCAGAACAGAGTCACGGTCATCGATGTGAACACCTTCGTCAACTTCGGCCAAGTCTTTCTTGCGCTGATCAGGCTCCTTTGCCAACTCCTTCAAAAACGCGGCTGAAGCGGCAACAAAGTCCAACACCATATTCTCCGGGCTGACGTCACAGCTTCCCAGCGAATCTCCATTCTCGTCTCTAAGCTGAAGTTCCAGCTTTTGATATCTGAACATGTTAGTTCTGGGGTAGGAAATGTGATGGGTATACCCACAATCTTGGCTGCTCGCTAGACGCATTGCTATGCTCGACAGCGCGAATGGCGCGTAGGATTTCGCACTCATTCGCCGTCAAAGCGAACTGATAGGTTGGCTCATTCACGGCCATGCTGAACGACAGCGGCCCTAAGGTGGGGTTGATGTTGATCCCTGGATGTTGCTCGTCTTAGACTTTGTTGCGCCTAGACGTTGCTTGTTTTTAGTTGAGTCCTTGATGGACCGCGAAAAATCGTTCTCGCACAACCGAGACCCAACGTGGGGTACGGAGCACCACAATCTGGTTTGCTAGAGAGACTGGAATGTCCAGTGTAAAACAATGTCTTGTGCAGGCCGTCAAACCGTCGGATGTTCCTCGGGCGGTAGAGACAAGTATGTATCGGCAAGTCGCGTCTCTAGGTGCCCGTGGTTGCTTCTGCTGGCTTCCCGCACCAATCAGGAAGTTTCCGGGACAGTCGGTCGTGGACGGAAAGATAATGCTACATCAGACAGGCGCAAGCTGATGGAGACCTAGCGATAGCATCGGCAGATGCAATGAAGGGGCAAAACGCTGGGTGAGCTGATGGCCAAAGGGTTGGAACGCGTCTTCGAGAGGAGTTCGCGAACCTTCCGAGGTTTAGCGCGTCCTAATCTTGGTTAAACCGATTATGCGCCGGCCCCACCACCGTCCCGCAGTGGCCCCCTTGTGTCGCCAACAGACTCGACACCTACATCTCATCGGCCATGTACGCTGTCGTTATATGAGCGCAAAAATACACTTGAGTTGTCTCTGGCATCAGGCTTCGATGCATAACTATAGTGGCTATGCCGCGCCGAGCATTCACTTCGACATTCGCGCGGGATCGGGGTAACAGCACAGCATCCAGTCGCCTCGCATATTGAGGTAAGCGCGTCCTGATGAAGCAGTTTACGATGAAAACATTGACAAAGAAGTGATGATATGTACAGATATATCCAAAAAAAAAAACCTATTTACAAGAAAGTATGATCCGCACAGCGCCTTTCCATCTGTTCACCAATCCAGCTTCAATTGCTTGGACAAAGCCGGACGCTGCCCGAAACGGCAAATCAGCTTAGCCAGAGCAGGTGCCAGCCTTCTTGGGCTCGCAGCCACCAGCACAACCAGTGTACATCTGGCACTTGGTCTTCGCATCAGAGCAGACGTTCTTGAGGGTAGCAGTGTCCCCGTAGTTGCTGTTAATACCAGCCAGCTCACCACCGTTGACCGCGGTCACGCCTTCGATGTAGACGTTGCGCTTGCATTGCTTAGAGCACTAGGATCGTGTAAGCGGATGTTCAGGAACCTGATCTTGATGATTGAAATCACTTACGTTTCCGCAAGAGCGGTAGAGCTTGCCGTAATCGTTGACATAGAAGTTGACGATGTTCACAGTTCCACATCCGTTGTGCTGAACGACTTTGTCGGATGCGTGGTAGGCGCCGCCACCGATGATCCAGGACTCCTTTCCAGCCTTGTCTTCTTTGATGGAGATGGCATCCTCGCAAACATCTTCGAACCAAACGAACTCAAGAGTGCAGTGGCCTTGGCAATGCACACCTTCCGCCTAAACATGTCTTAGTAGGTATCTACTTCAGGACTTGACCTGACACTTACCTGGTTCTTGCCGATGATCACGTTGCGCAGCGTAGCGCCTTCTTTAAGCAGGAAGACAGCGTCGGCAGCACCGCCCTCAGACTGACCAGAGCAAGCACCGCTACCACGGTCGAATCGGTACCACTGGCCATCGTAGGTTTGACCAGCAGCGACCTCAATGACCTTGCTATTGGTCTTGGTACCAACGGCTTTAGGGACACCTCCAGCGTATCCATTGCATCCAAGGGCAACAGGGAGGAGGGCCGTGGCCGCAGCGAGGATGCCTGCAAACTTCATGGTAAAGGATGGTGTTCGGTTTGAGAAAAAGTTGATCGATAGCGGAAGCTGGAATAGACGAAATGATAGAAGGAATGCTACTGGAGCCTTGGATATCGGGATGCTTCTGGCTGAAGGATAGAACCTTAACCGGTGGGATGTTCGCCGTTACTTATAGGGAGTTAAACCCCTTCTCTCCGCTCTATCCATAGCACGCTCAGGCAGCTTTGCCACGCCTTCTGCACTGCTAACCTCGCACCCTCAACTCAAGTCGTCTTACCACATTAGGACTTTCCTCCTCAATCTTTCCACGCTCATTCGCGGACTTCTATATCGATCCTGCCGAACGTCTTTCCGCCCGAGTCGCGCCATTGCCAAGACTTGTTACGGAAGCTTGGTGTAGAAGGATGCGCTTTGGAAGCGCACATCGGATAGTACCACGTGGTTTTGGTATGGTGATTGCACAAGTGAAACGCCCAGCAAACTCCGCCATGCGTTGGCACTTGCATTATTAGGGCGAAAGTGACATGCCATAGCGCAATGCTTAGCGCTGCAACCCTCCTCTCATTTCCTCTTCCATCATTTACTTCCGCCAACTAGCATTTCGCCGGTTCTGTTCTGTACGTCCGCTCTTGGTTTATTGAGGTACTATCGATAGCGGAAATACCACACGACTTGGTGTTTCCAGAGGGTTACGTTCCCCGCAGTATGACGGAGAATAGCGGAAAGTTGTGCGTTCTGAAGCTGTCCTGGTCACCGATATCAGCAAACCATCACCAGTAGCATG